TAAGCTAAGCTAATCACCTGGCTGTGGCTCCATAATTAATGCACAGACAATTGGTATTTATCTTCTCATCTAACTCTTGAAAAGAAAGCTAATAAAACTGCTTAAACCAAACTGCTGAACTACTCTTCTCCACAGTACTTGCTTTAGCAATATTCAGGAACTACAAGTTCATTAATTGGTTTCTGATTTCTTCCTATTTCATTGTTGACTACTAAACATTTTGTGTAAAGTGTCAACAGTGTTTTTGTGCTTTTTTCTCTCTGTGGATATTGTATAGCTTGCAGATATGATGGGTGTAATATTTTGGCTAATTATCTTCATCATGGAGCACAGAAGCAACAGACATTGACTGTTAACACTGTGAGCAAGGGATGGGAGGACAGCTGAGAGATCAGGAGAGAAATAATGAAAGAACAAGATTCAGACCGGAGAGAAGGCGAGCAGAATAAGCAAACCAAAGGGCTCATTACTGAGAGTAGCAGAAGATTCTGATCATGACAAAAAGAGACAGATTGATCATTGCTCCCTGCTGGCACTTCCTTCCCACCAAGTTCAGAGGGCTAAGAAGCAGTCACTTGGGACTAGCCAATTAGCACATTGGAAGGTGTTGTTTAGATTCTTAATGTCATGTGTCTGCACTGATAATGTAGCTGCTTCAAGTGCCATGACAGATCAAGCCCTCAGAAATCAGCCGGTGTCACGCAACTCTGCTGCTCATGTCGACATCCAACTGTTGAGCTAGTAGTTGAAGTGATAATCTGATGCATTTTTTGAAATGTTTGTAATCTCTTTGGTGTCACTAAGTGTCCTTTACTCTGGTGTTTTTTAATGGCACTTCAAAGGGATCACTTGTCAGTCAAAAACTGCTCACTGCAAGCAGTTACTGGTGGAAGCTCTTACTATGATAACTTTCTTATCTTATTTATGCTAACTCATTTATATGCTTGTACATGCTAATAAATGTCCTGCTACTTCCAAGTGGAAATCACTGAGGTTAGACCCTGACTTTGCATCAGCAAATGTAGTGTTTATGAACAGTATGTAATGTTTAGGAGGATCTGTTGGCAGAAATGGAATATAATATGCATACGTATGTTTTCATTCTAGACCTGAAAACAAGAACTGTGTTTTCGTTACCTTAGAATGATCCACCATGTTGAACCGCCATGTTTCTACAGTAGCGTACAGTGTAATGGACACACTAAATACTGGCTCTAGATAGGGCCTTTTGTGTTCTTTTACTTTGAAGGTGAGCCGTATATTTAGTTGGGTGCAATCTGCAACTTCACCACTAGATGCCACTAAATCCTGCAGTCATCATTCATTTAATCACAAGGCTGATTACCAAATCATAAATGCCAAATGTAGTGTTAGCAATTTAAAATTATCCATCCATCCATGTTCAAGATGGTGAGGGGGCTTGAGTCCATCCCAGTATACAATGGGTCAGAGGCAGGGTACGCTCTGGACAGGCTGTCCATCACAGGGCTAACACTCATGGACAGAAAAACACCTTCACGCCTACAGGCAATCCAAGTATAACCTGCATGTGTTTGTGGGTGGACATCCAGCTGGTGCGTTCACATGGTGAGGTGTAAGGTGACACTGAGCCTTGATATCACATCTACATGATCTACCAGTGGACACAAAATAGTCATCTGAAACCACATTATCACTAACTATAATACTTGCCAGTATGTTTTTGGATGTTCATGGCAGCTGATGTACAACATTACTGTTTTATTAACATTAATAAAACAGCAACACTAATTAAAAAAGTATTTCTTAAATATAAATTTATGTTTTGTTTGATGAAACCAAGCAATAGCTTGTGACTTTGCATGGCAGAGGCCCTCTTCAGCTCAGTTGTGGGCATTCAACATGTCATCTTGTTATTCATGATAGGCAGCCTGGTGGGCAGGTGTGTCGGGTCTGTCAGTGTGCATTCTGGGAAACTGTGCACTCCGCAGACGGTGCTTTCATCTGGGGAGAGAGGGACTCTACAGTACATAAATATGAGTGATGTTTGTTTGTGTCTGTATGTGTGTTTGCATGCATGTGCGTGCACAGCGTGAGTTTATGTGTGGTTGCCACTGCGTCACACAGCCTTACTATGCTCTTGTCTTGATCCTGCTTGCTCACGATCATGTTGCCTTGTACATAAATTCCAGAGATGAGCTGTTAATATTAGCAGCCTGTGTGATTCTAGGAGGTTTTTAGGGATCTAGCTTTTTCTTTTTTTCACTGTCAGGGCTCAGTGGATAGCGACTGTTTGGCAGGTTGGAGAACTGAGGTCTCATCCACGTCTGCAGGTGAAGGTTTAGACAGCCAGAAGTTAGAGTCTGGGGATTTACAGAGATGGATAGACTGAGAGGAGCTGGGGGCTCTTAGCACACATTCTGAAGCTGTGTTTCATTGTCAGACTGCAAAACACTGACAAACATCAAAGATGAATAGCTCTGTCGCTATCAGTAAGTGCTATGAAATCAGTTCTGTGATATATGACACAGTGTTTTCTGTATTTGCCTTGAATTTTTTTTAAATCAATTCAAAATATTTTCTTTAACCTGTAATTTTTGTCCTTGTTTTATGAGATTGCCCCCCACAATGTGTTTTTTTGCTGCTTTCCTCCTCTATGTCACTGCAGAGGCATAATTTGAAATACACACGGACCCATTCATACAGTTAAACAGATGCAAAGCCATTTGTGAATGTAACGAGGGTCACACAGTGCGACCCAGATTGATAATGCAGTATGCCAGAGGCAGTGTGCTGTCACTACCGTCACTAACATGGCTTTCCCATCCAAGGCTGTTGCCTGCTAAAACAACAGACTGGAAGCCATGTGAGTGAGACTTTATGCAGCATAGCAACAGTGCGCTGGGAGCAAGACAGAGCACTGTCTAAGCTGATTTGACACAGTCAGGTGAAACAAGTTCTGAGTTTCTCTGAGAAGACTTATTCTGTGCTTTTCTCTCAAGCCGTGTGGTGGATTGACCAGCAGAACAGCATGTGCTAGAGATTCTTTCATAGATGGATTTGGACACAGTGAACTGATTTAATAAATTCTTCCATTATATTTTTTGAATGGCTTTTCATTTTATTCATACACCTTTGTGTTTTTGTGTTCATTTTTCCTCCTTTAATTATTAAGACAGGACATACAGAATTTGTTTTCATATGCTATGTACACATTCACATTTGCATATATTTACATTTTTGGCCATGTGAAATGTCTCAGCAAATATTAAATGCATTTACTTGAAATTTGGCATAGATAATCAAGGTCTCACAGCAGCCATTTTGATTTGAAATAGTGGAGTAAACACAGGTGTTACCAATGATACTAATTAGGTTCCATTGTAGCAACTTTGTGCCAACATGCACAATAGTGGCACCCTGACTCTGTTTGACCTGAATGGAATAAAAACCTCAGTTAGTATCTGGTAACACTTGTGTTTACCCTTTTCGTGTCAAAATGGCTACACCATTTTACTACACCATCGCTTGGTCCAATGCTTTGGTTTATCACCGAATAACTCCAAAGCTAATGACATTCCCATCCTGTGATTTGTGTTTAGTGCTAATTTGTAAATGTTAGCATGCTAGCAACACACTCAACTAAGATGCAGAACATGGTAGACATTGCTGTACCGGGTAGCATGTTAGCATTCACATTGTGTGCCTGTCGCCATGCTATCATTAACATTTAGATGTGCCTAAGTACAGCCTCACAGAACTGACTTTTTTTCTAGTCTAAAAAAAAGACTCTGGCTTTGCTCCATAAAGTGCAATGACTGTGTCTCCATACAGTAAACAAAGCTAAAACAGGTTACATGTAGCATTTTATCATAAATAAATAATTACATTCATATACTGGATGTGAGATGTTTCTATAATTAACACAAACAAGATGAAATAAAGAAACCGTGTCTCACAGGGTCAGATATTGTGGGAAAGTTACTGGATCGCTTTACGACAAAATGAGATTGCTTAATAAAAACAGAAAGAAGATGTGGATTTTCCTTTTGCACCTCATGACGGGAAGCAATAGGGTTTATAGAGCGCACTAGCATAAACAGTAACAAAGGGATGAGATAGAAACTGCCAGTTATCTTCACTTCTAAGTTCCAAGTCGATTAACTTGTTGACATCAATAACAATATAAAAATGAATCTCTAATAATATTCTGGAGCTTTAGAACCGGTAGCATCTTCACCCTAGTGATGAATGACCTGTGAATGTGTGGATATGTGTGATAAGAAAAGAAGGCCATCACGCTTCTATATCCTTGCTCTCCTTGTCATACATTTGACTACAGCAGCGTACAAGTGACAGAGGGGACTCTGCCAGTATGTGGAGATGAATGTTTTCTGCCTCTGCACATGGCCTGATCTGTCTGCTTCAGCCCCCCTTACATCATGCACGTGCCCCGGGGCTTTCTCTCTACAGAGCAGGCGTTCTGTATTTAGAGCCTGATTTATACACAAACACACATACCACTGGGGAAGGCGCAATGAGTGTTCTTTTCCCCTGCCGCAATTGCCAGCAATATAATCATCTTCCCACACTTCAATGTGCCTTTAAGGATAGCATTCGGAAACAACGGGGGAAAAAAAAATCTCATGAAAGCAAACAGTAATTTTCAAAGCGTAAGTGAATGGAAAAAATAGAGACATGGATGGTTTAAAATATTCAGAAACCAGTAAATTCAAGGTAATCTAATAACTAAAAGAAGCATTTTTGCTTCTGCTATTCTGTTTCTTTTCATTTTCCAGTTCCATGTTGCCATTTTAATCTCCTGTCTTTTCTTCCACCCAGCATGGTTCGTAAGATTTGCTGTGGGACTCAATCGGCACCCTGCGGATTGTGTGACTAGTAAGGTGGTTGTGAAGACGAATCCACCTGGTAAATGCACAACAGGAGGAGACGCAAAAAATAATTCTTATTTCTGTTTTTTTTCTCTTTACCTCTTTCTTTCACCATCTTTTTGCTCTCAGGTTGTTAGAGAATTCTATGCTCAACGCAGAAGTAAAAGAAGGAGAGATTCTGCCTCCCACCATTCAGAGGCTGATGAAAGGATACAACAAGTACCTCAGGCCTTTCTTTGACAGTAAGGAAACTGCAGACACATGCAGCCATTGAAATGACAGAGTACTCAAGGGAAATGTGTGTTTGACAGAGAACAAGAGTGGTTCATATTACAATTTCTGCTTGCGTGTCCCTTTTGAGTAATATACGCTGACATATATACATTTAAATTTACTGCATATGTATATTATAATATGAGATGCAGTAAAAATGTATCTATGAAATTGGTTTGCTCCATAAGTACTAGGTCTAATGAAAATATAATAGGAAATGTATGCAGAAGAAAGCAAAACACTGATATGAGGTCAGTAGAAGGGTGCATGATGTACTTAAATACAAATAGCTATATAAATCTAAAATATAATGTTCTTTGTGGTTTAAGCAAGATCGGAGCTGCTCATATATGATGATGATGATGAGTTAGATTCCAGGTGACTAATGTACTTGCAATAGAGAAACAGAATCTATCTCATTGTACGCTTTCTGAGGAACAACGTTATGTCATTTCTCGCAAATCCCTCGCTAGCGTTATTGTTCTGGGCTCTGGGAATCTGTCACAATGGGATTATGGTTTGTTCACTCACTGTTTGATCTGTAATAACACGTCGGACTTTACCAAGGCGAATGCTATTCAGAGTCATCACTAGTCTTCCTGCCCAGGAACACAAAGTTTGGCACACACTGATGGTAAAAGCACAGGTAAACCTGAGCATACATATTCACACACCCACACATGAACTAGCATTACTAGAACTGTAAAACTTCCATTTATTTTATTTATTCCCTCACCCTAAAGGAAAAATATCACCCATAATGCTGCACTAAATGTGTGACACCTGTAATGCTGTCATCATGCACTTCTCTCCAGTGCTGTGTGTTTTCATGCCATTTCTCAGCCACACATAGAGTACATATTTCAACATTTTGGTGCAAGGTGCAGGGTTTTGCTGCTTGTCAATGTCATCTTCTGGCCACACAGCCCCAGGCACAGCCAGTAGCTTTACTACATTTCTGAAGGGGAGTGCCCCCTTACTCAAAAATTATTCCTTATGCTCATGGACAAGTAATTTAAGGATTAGTTTCATCTTTTGGGTAATACACTTATTCGCTTTCTTGTCGAGAGTTAGATGAGAAAATTAGTAGCACTCTATACTGTATGCCTGTAGGCTGCTTATCAAGCTATAGCCAGCGATTAGTGTAGCATACAGACTGGGAGCAGGGGAAACAGCTAGCCTGGCTCTGTCCAAAGGTAACAGAATCCAGCTACCAGCAAACAGGCCACAGTGTTTTGTTTTAACACTTTGGCCAAGATATTATATGTTAATTAGTGAACAGAGGTGCTGGTAGGCAGATTTTGTTACCTTCGTATAGAGCCAGACCAGCTGTTTCCCCCTGTTTCCAGGCTTTATCCTAAGCTAAACTAACCGGCTGCTAGTGGTACCTTCATTATTTGCTGTACAGACATGAAAATTATATCAATCTTTTCATTTAACTCTCCAACAGAAAGTGAATAAGCCTATTTCCCAAAATGTTTAGCTGTTCCTTTAAAGTAAACTAAACTAAAATGTTGTCATTTTATGTTTTTTTATTTTTTGTAACATTTTATGTCTCCACAGGACTTACCCACACCCCTACAGTACAGTAGGCACACAAAGGCACTTACAGTATCCGCAATATGACAACAGACTCATTTATCTCAAATAAAATGAAGATTGATAAGCGAGAGAGAAGGAGAATGGGAAGATGAAACATAGGAGAGCAGCGAAGTTACCCCTCTTTGATGGTGAATCAGGGAGAACTAATTCCCTCAAGGAGGTTCACACTCGACAGACTGCAGATGTTGATGTGCCAGCAATGTGGGGTCTTTTTAAATATGCTGTCCTTCCATAACCTTTCATTATACAACATTGTGCTTTATTATACAACCTTATAGCCATATGCCTCCTTAATATGCCCTGTTATGTCATATAACTCAGTCACATGTATGCATTAACACTCACAGACACACACTAAATGCATATATTCCAATGGTGGGCATTATGCAGTGCGTACTAATAGATGACACATCCAGCAGTTTATTGTTGTTTTTGTCTTTGTTTCTAGATGGTCCTGTAACGGTGGGCATGAGCCTGGACATTGCCAGCATTGACACCATCTCAGAGATCAACATGGTAAGATAATATTTTTATGCCCTGCTGATTACTGGAATTCAACAATAAACCCAAACGTTCATAAGTCAGTAAGTGTAACTTACAGTTAATCAGTTTATGGGTACTAATGCCCAGTTAACTTTACTTAACTCTTTCAATCCCATGCCAAATAATTTCCCTCGTTCCATTCGTCTTTCTCTTAAACTCTCATGTTAGTTTTGTAGATTGTAGATGTATTACACTTTTTCACAATAACCATGGCTGTTTGAATTCTGAAGTTGTCAAAGGTAATTGACTAATCAGTGAAATATGTGAGGGTTTTGGTGTAACTGACAGCAGATATAGGCATATATAGGCTACAGCATCATAACCAATAACACAGATCAAAATTGATCAAGTGCAACAACAAACCTAAACTCAAAGCTTACAGCTTACTTACGTCACTGTCCCTTTTGGTCAAGGTGCAGCACCTACAATCTGAATTATTTACAATAGGATCATAATCAATTAGAGCTGAAATGATTACTCACTGAATCAATTAGTGGAGAAAATAAGCAACCATTTTTGATAACTTTTCCAGTCTCTCAAATGTGAATATTTGCCAAGTCTCTTTGTATTCTCAGCTATCTTTGTGTTTTGGACTGTTGGTTGTACAAAACAAGCAATCTGAAGATATCAACTTTGGCTCTGAGAAATTGTGATGGGCACTTTTCAATGTTTTCTGATATTTTAAAGACCACAAAATAAAATAATTAGCAGATCAATTGATAAAAAGAACATCTGCAGACACATAATTTAATGGCACAGGCAACTATTTACAAAAGAAACAGTGAGCCCTCAGAGCCTCTTTCCCCAAATTCAGGAAACACAACCAAACCTTTTCACCATAACAAAACACAAGGAGCGATTACAACAAAGCATGGTAGCCCATTTAGTTTAGAAATAAGATGACAACAGACATGTTGATTGACAGCGAGATGCACCGGTCAATTCATGGGTAAGCCTCACTTGAGTGGACAGAAGGCTGGCGTTCCACAGGGACTGTTAATTCTTGTGGGGCTCAACATGCTTGGCTAGGACATTGCACTCGCAGCTCGTTGCCACACAACAGAAGAAATTGATTACGTAGCCACACATGATGTAACATCAGGACTCTTACAATGGATGTCCTGCACAAAACATGCTCAGTGTCCTAAAAACCAGAACAAACTTGCTGACATGAAGCAACGCCGTGGATTACTGTTGCTTCAGGCACAGAAGGGGCTTAGGGACCTGCCGCCATCAATACCCAACAATGCATGGAAAAGCCACAAGCTGACTAATGAAACACAAGCACACAGGAGAAGCCTGGTTTGCAAAAAAATTCACTTTTGTTTATCAGCATGTTATTGACATGCTTGTTAAGACGGTCCATTTGCTGTGTTATGACCTCTGAGTCCAAATCCTGCAGGACTACACCGCCACCATATTCCTCCGTCAGCGCTGGACGGACGAGCGTTTGGTGTTCGAGGGCAACAAGAGCCTGAGCCTTGACGGAAGGCTGGTGGAGCTGCTCTGGGTCCCCGACACCTTTATCGTCGACTCCAAGAAGTCCTTCCTCCATGACATCACCGTGGAGAACAGGCTGATCCGTATCTTCCCCAACGGGACCGTCCTCTACGCGCTGAGGTGGAATAACGAACAAGCATGTTGCTTTATTGGTTGTTGTGTTTGTTTTTTCTGCTCCAACAGACAATGAAAAGTAGGCCAGGGAATGGGGAAAAAATTGGCTGAGGGAGGAAGCGTGGGTTGAATTTCAGATAACGTGATTGCAAAGCAGGGAGTTGTGTCAATTGTATTACTTGGGTATTGGATTGTATGAGTACAGGAGCATGTGATCTGTCAATAAAATGAGCTATGGGCTATCAAAGCAACACAAGTCCTGTTAGCATCTTTGCAGCATTTATTGCTCTGTGTGCACAGGTTTTCCACCTGACAAGCTCCGGGCAAGCCTGTAAAACGTGCCTCGGCTTTTTGATTAGATATTAGGCTAGGCAGACAGGTTATAGATGTAAGTGAATTTGTTCAGCTCTTTTAAGCCTGTGATGATGGGATTTACACATCCTACTGTCTAAGTCACGTGCCTTAACCTCTGCCTGTGTATGGATTGTATAAGAGCTGTCCATTGTCCTGATTTGACTCTGCTCACTCGAAGCTTATCTTCCTTCATCTCAGTGTTTCTGAACTTCTTGTCATGTGTACAGCTTTGTCATGGCCACACATGTTCTGGTTACACAATGAAAGAGAAAAAAACATGGGAGACATTCTCACTGTTCTAATTGCAACTTTCTAACTATCAGAGGAGGGTGGGGGGTGTACGTGGGTGTTATAGTAAATTGGGTTGGGTATTGAGGCTCAGTTCAGTCTGGCCTCACAGTTAATCATGTCTCCACACGCTTGTCCATTTTTAACAAGTGCGTGACATTGTTATGTACAGTGTGACTCCATTTGTTGATTTATGTTGTTCTGAATGCATGGGTGTGCATGCCCTAGTCTTCATGGGCTTTTGCCTCCATACAGAAAGCTGCACAGTTCGTGGGCTTTACCCTGACAGAGGGAGATGCAGAAGAGAGTAGCGCTTCACAGTCAGAGAGCAGGACTAGTGGGAGCAGAACAAGCCAGAAAAGATAGTGAGGAGAGGGATAGCCACCTCGGGGAATTGGGCCTGTGAAAAAGGACAGAGTGGAGTGAGAAATGTGAGGTGTTGAAGGAAAAGGACAGCTGTGGTAAATGTTTCAATGCTGCGCCAGGGGGAAGACATGAGAAAGCACTGAGGTGATTGGAGCCAAAGGTTCAGCAGTTAAGAGGGTAGATTCAATTAGAATTACTGCATGCTACTTTTTATGGTTTAGGAGGATTCACTTCATATTTGTGATGAAATATGTAATGAAGTCAGAAATCCAGGTTTCAGTGCAGACTAGAGAAAGGCTTGTGCAAATTGTTGCAGTCAAGTCAGGTGCATGGTAGACTGCTCCCTTTTCTGGTAGCCACCTTCATTTTCCCATTTAATAAGTCATCATGCCACAGCTTATTAGTGTACAGAAATTTAAGCAATATTCATAATATTTCATACACACACACAAAATGTCCTTACATTGAATGTGAATAAACACCAGAGCCAGTATGTATGAAACCTCTGAGAAATTAGAAGTCTTAATGGTTCTGAACTTTAGTTAGCAAAAATAAATCTAGGAATTGAAAGTTTTGTATGAAGAAAAGTAACTGAGATTCTCAAGTGCTGACTGCAGCGACTCCTAAGTGTTATGAAATATAGACAATTAGGTCTATAGCCAATAGAAGGCCAGACGATGTGTCAAAGCTGCATCACATCAATCATCAGCGCTTCCTGCACATCCTGTAATTGATCAACACTACTCATCATTATCTGTAGCAAACATTTCCATGACTCATTGTATTGATGCTTACCAGAGGACAGCTTATAGAAGATACTGTGTCTCCCCTACCGTTATTTCATAAAAAGTGTAAATGAGTTAAAGTAAGATATAGTTGCCATTTAAATAAATCTGTGGTGATCGCAAAAATGTTTGTATGTAAATCAAATACTGTGAAATAGTTTCTCTTCCTCCAAAATACTGTACAGGGGTTGATCTAATTTTGTTTTATAGAAAAGTTACTTATATATTTAGAATTCTTTTCATTTGTTATTTCTGTGTTTTTCATTCATGGCCTTCAAACTAACCAGAATTCTTGTATTCCACAGTAACATGTGAGCAACACTAAGCAGCGTATTATGCATGGCACTTTAATTCTAAGACCGAAATTGCATCATTCTTAAGCCCTTAAGACCAAATTTATAATGTGAGAGATTCTCATACATACTGGCCCAGATTAACAGCATGACAGCAACGCAAAGACTCCTTTACAAGTGATCTCTATGTGCCATGAGGGCTCAATTCATGCATTTCATATATAACCAAGCCAGCTGCTTCCTCGCATCAGCACAACTTCAACCAGAGAGCAGGGGAATAATTCACAGAGCTGCTCTATTGTTAGTTCAAATAAACACCTGGCATGATTGAAACCACTGAGCTAGAATCTACTGCAAACAATAACATTTTCTATACTGTAGGTTTTCTCTTTCACTGAATTCCCCAACAATAATGACATCTTGTTTTTTAGGATTACCACCACCGTGGCTTGCAACATGGATCTGACCAAATATCCCATGGACAAGCAGACCTGCACACTACAACTGGAGAGCTGTAAGGACACTTCATACTTGATAAAGAAAATCAGAACTGTGCAGCTTGAAGCTGTGGCAGTGAGTTGGTGGGTGGGCGTGATGTCAAGTGAATCTGATCAAACCTAAAGATCAAACAGATCACTTTCTCTCATCTTCTAAACTGAAGTGTGTATGTGCCTGTGTGTGTGTAAGACTGCTTATGTCACACAGCAGACAGAAATTGCAGGGGCAATTCTGGTCATTTCTCACGTATTCTCCTGTGTATGTTGTCTGTCATAAATGACTGTTGTGAAAACGAAGATGAAGGTGAAGGGTAACTTCCAGTGTCTACCCCTTAAAGGAATAGTTCAGCACACTGGAAAGTATGCTGTTAATTGTTAAGAGTAAGATGAAAAGATTGATGCCGCTTTTATGTTTGTCTGAAGCTAGAGGCAGGAGTACATTAGCTTAGCTTAGCACTTACATTTAAAGCAGGTCTGAACATCTTTGAAAATCTCACTAACTAATGCTCTGCATCTTGTCTGTTTAATCCATACAAAAAAATGGAAAAACAGAGTTTTCCTTTGTGAGGGGCTGCAACTATTTTCTAGAGATCAAAGAATTACGATTTCTGTATGTATACAACTAAGAAGATACATGTTAATTAGTGACCTTAAGAAGTGCTGGGACAGAGCACCTAGCTGTTTCCCCTGCTTCCCTGCTTTGCTAAACTAAGCTAATAATCTCCTGGCTCCAGCGCCATAGTTAAAGGGTCCCTGTGGAATTACTGACCACTAGTCGTACTATTGAAAATTTATTTTCATAAGTGGGCCCCCATTTCTGTCACACATGAGGATGCACATGCATACGTTGGTGGCAGTAATACACGAGGATCAAGAATACGCACCATGAGTTTTGGTGAGAAACCAAATATATGTACATTAACTTTTGTTTGTAACAGCAGTCCACATGGATCTTTTAATGCACAGGTGTGAGAGTGATATCAATCTTTTCATCTAACTCCAAGAAGTGCATTTCCAAAAATGTTGAACTAGTCTTTCAGACCAAATATGGTCTTATGTTTTCTCACAAAGGTATGAGCACCATATTAATATTTTAGAGTCGGCCCTGTCCCTGATACCAAGCCTGCCTCGTTTTACAAATCCTTTAAAATCATATTGATATCTTAGTAATGCAGACCTCCCAGTAGCCTCAGAACATTGTTCACTTGAGAGTTCTGAAATTTCATGACATAAGAGGAGGCATTTGCCTACTTTTGGCACATTTTCAATGCTCTCGCGTTGAAACGTGGTGGCAGCATGTTCATAATTAAAGCAAATTGTTATTAAGATTAAATAACATGACAAGATGGATTTTTTGGCTGTGCAAGATGGAAGGAAGAAAAAGTGGGGGCCCCCTCCTCTCTCAGCCTCCCTCGCTCATCTGCCTCCTTTGCTTTCCAGCTTGCTTTTGCTTCATGCTATTAAATGACAGCCAGCCCGGCTAAGCTAAGTCTGATCCCTGCCAGAAGCCCACCAGGACCTCAGTGCCAAATAAAACATTTAACGGCAGCTCCAGTCCCACTTAGCAGACAAAAAGACATCTGGAGGTTAAAGTTAGGTAACAGAGAGGATGATGGATCCTTCCTCCGCTGCTTCAATAATTCCAGGCTAAATATCTAAATTTTTTTCTCTCTGTCTGCCTCTCTCTTCCACCCTCTCTTGCAATCTCTCGCTCTCAACCTGCTACTCTATCTCTGCTGTTTTCTTCTCTGTTTCTCTCTCGCTCTCCTTTCCTCCTCTCCTTCAGACTCTATCTCCCTCTTGCTCTGTCTCTCCGTCTCTTTATGAAGATGTATATTCAAGGATTTATTTCTTTTAATGCAGTGCCAAAAGTGGATCCTCTGCACAGGAGGAAGGTTTAAAGAGAGCGTCGTTGTGAGAGGGTGCGGGGCGTTTGGGTCGGGATTGTGGTGAAATATTTAGTGTGTTCTGACAGCAGAGAGAGTGAGAAGATAGTCGCAGTCTTTTGTGATCTTTTGCTTGAATTTTACTTTTGGTTGTGGCTCTTTGATTGTGGATGTGGCTACTTGTTTTCAAGGGGCCACAGGGCACTGGAAGGTTGAATGTACCCCCTTTGGTACTCTTTCCAAGCTATTGCACAGCATGTCACTATCCATTTGTGTAATGTCAGGGCTCTAGGTCAGGAAAATAATGAGTTCTTCTTGTAAGATAATTACAATGAGAGAGAAAACAGTGAATTTACAGGACCTTTCAGCATCAAAGTCACCTCTGTCCTTCATTAGGGGACTTTGCTCACAGCATCATGGCTCACCCTGGTCAATAATACATGACTCTATATGGGTTTAAATGGGGATAGCAACAGCAAATTAATGAACATTTCATTTGCACTAGAGGAAAGAAGAGTCTATCTCAGCTTCAGCCAACTGCACTTCCTCTTACTTTTCTTATTCTCTTGCTCCCTCTGCAGATAAATTAGGAAAATACACCTAAGAGCTTCAGCCTTTTTAATCACCTTTTTGTCCTCAACACATTTGATAATGAGAGCCACACCAGTTCTTATTAAGTGATATTATTCTAGTTGCACAGTACTATGAAAAGCACTACCAGACTTAGCCTTGGTGTCTTTGGCCATATTCATTTTGTACGCCGTCTTATTCCAAGTTTTATTTGGGTTATCAAGGCTCTCTAGGGCCCAGTGCAATATGCATGATTAGTCTGTTCTGGTATGAGGCAATAGTTAAGCTCTTCATCAAGACTTTTTTGCTACCCTTATAAAAAAGTGAGCGAACTCCATAAATGCATTCCCATTAGTAATTCCTCTCTGTCGCACTGTGTTAGAGTGAATAATGGAAGAATATTGTGTTTCCACTCTGACCATAATTACATACATGAAACATTAACGTTGTATTTTAAAGTCGAAATGTTGTAGTTACATACTATGTCAAATTCATGTGTTGTTTTAACGTCAGATATAGTGGAGTGCTGAACTGTGTAGACCTTACCCATTTGCTTCTCAGGGGGTGACTTGACGTCTTAAACATGCTTTTCAAAGGTGTGTTTTTTACATTCCCTTTGGTTCTTGCCAAATGTTTCTCTTGTGCTGATATTTAACATCAGAGGGAATTTACCACCCACTATGGGTTGCAATCCCAAACAACTGAACCATAAGAGGATCAGACATTAGCATAGCTTCAGCAAATTAAGATTTCAAGCTGTTCCCTCCATAGGAACTTTTGGGTTTAGTAAAGTTCTAATGTACCATTTCTATATAATCATCATCATCACCACCATCATCATCATCATCACGATAAGTAAGAATTTGAGGAGCTTTAATAGGCTAATATGTAATGTGCTTGTCATATTTTCACCTGCATAAGCACTGAAACTCTTCCAGGAGAAGAAAATATAACTGTATTGTTTTATCTACAACAATAACATATCGTCATCTTATAAAGTTTTATAGTGAACATCAATGAGTAAAGTGAATGACTATGGCACATATCTGACTGTAACTGCTCCACTATGTTCAGGTAGCTACTAACTTCTACTGTTAGGTGCTAGGTAGGTAGTGTACTGATTGCCTTTGCATAGAGCTGAGCGGAACTAAAGACTTGGGTGATAATTCTCTGTGGTCGAGCAACACATTTCATATTACATACTTGTTTGATTCATTGTTAATATAAAAATATGGATTAATGCAGCTTTAATCTATTTTTCTGTAAGAAAGTGATGTTCATCTCTTTTACAGGGGGTTACAACGTCAATGATGTCATGTTCTACTGGACCAGAGGAAATGAGTCTGTCAGTGGTTTAGACACTCTACAGCTGGCTCAGTACACAGTGGAGGACCATTACACATCTGTCTCAGAGGCCGTTTATGAAACTGGTAACACTGACCATAAAAATCACTTAATGTTACTGCCAGGTCTTCAATCTGCATACAAATAACACGACTGGACTGAATGTTTCAACAGCAGTGTGGCATTGTTAAATATTGTAAAGTTAAAGTCCTTATATGTAGGATTTGTGATTGGCACCACATGTGTTCTCAAGTACACTGACAGCCTTTTGTCCCTTTTCCCAAAGGCAATTACCCAAAGCTGGTCTTCCACTTTGAGCTGAAGAGGAGCATTCTCTACTTCATCCTAGAGACTTACGTTCCCTCCAGCCTGCTTGTTGTCCTCTCATGGGTTTCCTTCTGGATCTCCCTGTCCTCTGTTCCAGCACGTATCTGTATAGGTATGTGGGCAACGCAGTCTTTTTTTTCCCCACTCAAATGTGAAAATGTGAGCAATTTTCATTTACTTTTACATTGTACCAGGCCTAGTCTAGGTCATGGGGCATTATTGTAGGTATATTGTTATGAGATAAAGATTTCAATGTATTTCAGTCATCAGTAGATATAAGATGTACACAAAAATAAGAGACTCTCCTTTAGTTAGCACAATTGTTGATTTGGGTTTGATTTTAGAGGGCTGGGGGTTGAAGAGAGCATCTGTGACACTGGTGTTATCTTGTTGAAACATCCAAACATAAGTGTTGTGTTGAATTAGATCCACAACCACTGCAGGAGGCTTTGAGAACACTAAGTGTGTATGTGCAGATGATCTCTGCTGCCTGTTTCTTGTGTTGCTGATCTTTTTCTTTATATTATCGTCTATCACTAAATTTGAACCTTTGTCTCATATGTAAGGATACAGGGCATATGAGATTAATTAATTATGAGAAAATCCAGACCGTATTATTTTCTTGTACAACAGCTAGCGATATGCTTCTTTTTTTTCACCCCAGACAAACTCTGAAATAATTAACTTCAATACGTGACATGCTGCCAACAATATTGTTATGCAGTTGTTGTTTGACTAATACAGTGTATTGGTGCTCACCTTGAAATTGCATCAGTCCACTTTCTGTCTGCCTTTTTTCCTCTTTCTCTTTTTCCCTGCAGTGGGCCTGTCCTTTAAAAACTAGTGAAAAGAACGGAGTCAAAAACAGCACAGATAGAAATCCCTCAAAGCAAAACCGTTCTAACTTTGGCAGAAAATTGTGTGTTCATGTAGCGTTCCATATGAAGCTGGGGTTTATGGGGTTGATCAAACAATCTGTAGTTGACTGGTGTTGTTTTTTTTGTGCCAGGAGTGACCACAGTGCTGACCATGACCACTCTGATGATGGGAGCCCGGACGTCACTGCCCAATGCCAACTGCTTCATTAAGGCCATTGATGTTTACTTGGGAATCTGCTTCAGCTTTATCTTTGGAGCGCTCATTGAGTATGCCGTGGCTCACTTCTGCACCCTCACTCACGCCGATGCGCACATGCTGATGGTGAGACCCCCCTGGATACACTGTCTTATTGTCCGTTGTTGTGGTTATTGTAGTCATTGTCCTCATGATGGTGGTCATTGTCATCGTCGTCATCATCAACATGTCATCATGAGCACTTGGGGGTGAGTTGAAGTGCTACGTGCTCTCAGATTCTGTTGTGTCATGAATTTGTTTCCATCCAAAACTCATTCTTCCTCTGGCTCCCGCTCTCCTGCAGTACACCCACCACATGCACGAGTTTGATGACGAAATGAACGGCATCGTCACCACCATCTCCAGTCATGCTAACAGGGTCAAGAGACGCAAGGAGCCTGCAGCAACTCCTGCCCCAGCTCCCACCTCCCTAGAACTCACTGTCAACCCGTCCAGCCCCTCAGGCAGTGAGCCTAAGCCCGAGGCGTCGCCTCCGGAGCCCACCAACCGGTGCCTCACTGTTCTGGCCACCATTCGCAAAGTGCTCAGCTACATATATTGCTGTCACGTGGAGAACCCCCACCACATAGACAACTACTCCAGAGTCACCTTCCCCCTCTCTTTTGTCATGGTTAACCTGCTCTACTGGACATATTATCTGTACTTTTAGCATTCGCTTGAGTGCAGCATGTGTCCCAGAGAGTGCAAGACAGAGAGTGTATGTAGACAAAAGGTGTACTTTACCGTATGTATGTACAGTAAGTGTTATTTAGGTGTGTTTTGAGATGAGTGTGGAAAATTTCTACATTTGGATTCATAAGCATTGTAGCATACTCATATAGGGTTGATTTTGGGGAAAAGTAATGCTTATGATTACAGCTCCATTTTTAAATATCAATGTGTAGTTGATTTGAGTCGCTTTAAATTTTATGCAGCTGTTTTTGTTAAAAACACGCCCACCTCAGAGCACCTTGTTTGCTGAGTGGTTACAGTGCACGCCACATAGCTGCAGCATTGCCAGACTGATTCCATCCTTTGACCTTTGTTGCATGTCTCTCTCCCCCCATTTCCTGTTTGCCTTAGTCACTGCCCAATGAAGACACAAAAACAAAACAGGTCCACCTGACACTGACTAAGATGAGATTTGATCAATTATAATACACCTTGAGATGAAAAGTACATTGCTTACAAAGAAAAAATTGAGCAGTCTGAATACTTTTCGCTGTAGTATATTCATTTTAAGTGCATCACCATACAGGCTGTTACTGTCTGACACGGAGAAGATGGAGCTGTAATTTAAGGCTTTATAGCAGAATTTGCTAGCGTTGCTGAGGGAGAGCAAATGCCCGTTCCACTTTGATATCTGTTGTGATGGATTGATCATTGACACTTTACAACTTCATTTTCCATTTCTACCCGCAGGTACAACATTTAGAGGGAAATAGAAAAATAATGGATATGAGAAGAGGGATGAAAAAGAGAGATGGGCGAGCTGAAAAAATAACTCAACAAGGAGGGTGTGTTAAAAACTATAAAGTTTTCCAAGGGCGGTCACGTCCCCTCGCTGTTGAAATCTCTCTTCTGTGTCCTTGTGTGAGTTATTTTTAATTCACTGAGCAGCGCCGTCTCTCTATGCCTGCATTTATTTCTTTCATTGACACTATCAATGTAGTGGCCTTTGATTCCTTCAGTTGTATTCTGGAAATCTAGCCACAATGAATCGTATTATGGCACTAGTCATCACACAAATCTGTTCTGCAATTTCAAGGCAACAAGGCAGCCTGTGGAACACTATTAAACTACAAATTGTACACATTTTTATTTTAGAAGTTATATGGCATACATGCATTTTGTAATAAATAATCACGATTGAATAGAGTGAAATATGTATAACAATATAATAACTGATAAAATATGAATTATAAAATTGTATTTCATTACTTTTAGCAGGGCTCACCAACTGCAATTTTGTCCAGCTAGCTGCAAAATGTATTCACAGTCAGCCAACAGGCTGCTGCTGCAAAGACATAGTGGCTAACCTCTTCTTTAATTTGGTTAAACAAGGCTATATAATGCTACCTACCTAACCAGATTTACATGTTTCTTAGAGAAAGACACACAGTCCAGTAAAGAGCAAAAAGTTTCTTTCTTTCTTTCTTTCTTTCTTTCTTTCTTTCTTTCTTTCTTTCTTACATACTAGCTAACTAGCAAGCTGGCAACAAAACTCTGGCTGGCAGTTGTGAGCCTACAATGTGAGACGTGACTGGAACTGTTGGAACTGGAATGACAAATTAGTTTTTTTTTTTCACTTTACTTACTTTACTCTATTTAATTATCTGATTATTTATTTAATTACGTTCAGTTTATTTATTTAATATTGTACACTTTGGGTCTCCATACTAACTGCGTGAGTATAATGCAATATAATGGTGTGGAGGATAGCAACACCTAAAGAGATAGGTATGAAATAATTCTTCTTTCTAAGCTACTGGTAGTGTTTCTCACTATGCTTTTGAAATACATAAAGCAGTAGTCAAACCTAGATGTGTTAGACATTGTAGACTGATTTGAATACAAATGAAATGGCCAAACTATTTCAATAGGATGTCATCATCTGGGTATTATCCGAATGGAAAAAATCTCTTGGATAGGCTACGCAAGAGGTATCACTTCTCCCCACAGTGTTTTTTTTGGCTGTTGTCATCTTCCGCTGTGTTTCAGTTCAGGTTATACAGTATGTTTGTTATCAGTGATGTTAACCAATGAACCAAAGATTCCAGTTTGATTTTGCTCTTCCTGGTTTCCCTTTAGTTCCTTAACTAGGAGATATTAAGTGCATTTTCAAATGGTAATATTATGTTTGTTAATCATAGGATAATTCTGAAACAGCATGCAGTCAATGAGCAGATGAACATGACACATTTCAGATAGAAAACAGGATTCAGTTCAACAACAGAGATGCATGTTTATTAATTGCTGTATTCAATATTGCTGTGACATACTCTGTCATTACATTCCATTTTTAAGAACTACCATTCGATGTGTATTGAACAATACGGCAAGCTAAATTGTCAATATCTATCTATATTTAATTGCCTTTTAAACTGTTTATGTTCATATTTTAGCTGCGCTGCCTCTCATGTTTTACTCTATTTTTGAATATGTCATCAGCTACCAAGCTGTTTGATTCCTCTCCTTGCCTGATGATAATAGAAAAGTAGGACTTACTTTTGTTTCCGGTCTTCCTGCATGGTTATCTACTGTAACTTTTGTTTCTTCTGCTTTGCTTAATTTTGTTTTGGTTTAATATGATGGAGAAGAGTCATCATACAATGCTCAGCTGAGGCTATTGAAAGGATGAGACCTGCATTTTCATTGTTAATGATGCAACTTTGATTTGGGGTCTCATCTGGGTCCAGAAGTGAAGATGTTCAACCTTCTGTTCTAATTTTCAGTTATTTGAACCTTACTCTTTGAAAGGATGAGTGATCAGTGACAGTGTTCGTCTGCCTCCGACTGAGCTGCTCCGTGGACGTCAGTGACTGCTGACCCACTGAGAAGGTTAATGTGATAAAACGCGGACTGTCAGGTTTTATACAATATAGCACCACAGTTGTAGTTTTGATAGTTATCTTCTCAGTGTATAGTACAAGAAATGAATGCCAATATGGAGCCAAAGAACCACAACAGCAACCACTCAAGCTTTCCCGTCAGCGTGGATGCAAAATAGAACATTTTGTCACCCAGTGATGAAGTCAAACCTTACACATGGTTCAAGAGTATCAACTGTCCTATGGCTCCATGGTTGCAACTACATTATGAGTGCTGGGTTGCTGTGAATGGACAGCATTTTGGATAGTTACAAATATCCAAGGAAGGTGAGAATACATTGCAGAAACAAAGGTATGAAGCAGAACATTCTAGGCATTGCCAGGACGTATTTGGAGCAAATTTTCAGCAACATTGGGCAACAGAAAGATGGAAAATGGCTACCGTTGGACTGCCCTTTCTTTCCTGTGGTGGGACATGTCAAATAATGCCTCACGTGACGTTGGCTGACGTTGGCTACCACCCTCACAGCTCCTAGGACATCTTCATGTGAATTGTATTTATATACTGTAGTACCACGTTAATATAGGCATCAGATTGCTTAACCTGTAAATAACTAGTCACCCTATGCATGTTTATTTGGTGTATGAATATGAATGATAGCAATAAAAGGTTTAACGTGTATATCGTTGACACTCTTTATACATACTTCTTACAATACTGGAGCTGTGCCATTTGTTTATAAGGACAACAAAGCAGTTTTTAAATCTTGGTCATTTTCCAAAACTTAAATTACAAGTACAGTGGATTAGACCAGCTGTCCTGCAGACATGCAAATGTGTGTGTTTGTGTGTCACAGATGCTAGGGCAGCAGTGTCCCCGTGGGACTGGATGATGTGAGTCTTAATTCCCTTCAGCTCCCTTAGCTCTGAGTCAGCAGACAAAGTGAGAGGACTTTCTGAGATCATCACACTGTACATACACACATATACACACACAGAATGACTTTCCTTTAAAGATGCACTTGGGTTACTTTACTCTTTGGTGGTTCCAAGTGGAAGAAAAAAAACAACCAATTTTTCTAAATGGCTTCATTACCCAGACGTGTGTAAGTTGAGTAACTAAAGTTCTTCTTCTCTGGATAACCAGGAGCCTTCATTATGAATGTCAGACAGTTTGACAATATAACCTAAGTCAATACTTTTGTTGCCTCAAAGTTGAAATGGGGAATGGGATTAATAATGGTGCTCTAATGTTTCCAGTCTTCATAATCCTCAATCCTGAACCTCAGCTGAATCAATCAAAAATCCCTTTCAAAAGAGATCATCAGTGGGACATGGCAAATATCAAAGGTGCAGGTTTTGACCCTCTCAAGTACTCTCCATTGCAAATATTTCATGTTCAGCTTTGATCATAAATGGACCGTCTGATGGTCAGTCAGGCTTTAGGTTTTTGATCATCCCCTCTCAGTCTCTGTAGTGAATTACCCCTGCAGTCCTCACATTCTCTATAAATGTGCAACTGACACAATTGTAACACCTGATCTACTGCAATAATAATAACATGTAATATTTCATCATAAAATAAAAACATTTGCAACCACTCTCAGGCCAAAGCTCTTCCACAGAGGTTACCTTATCCAACCCTTCAGTCATCCACCAGATGCTTCCAATAAACCCTTATTAGACACTTGTTTCTACCTGCTGGCTATGCACAGTAAGCAACATCAAACATCAATGTGCATTCCTTTTTAGCCAGCAGTTCTAATATATCACAAAGGAAGCTCCTTTCAGCAGAGATTTGGATTTCAAGCCTGTAAAATTTTCACTGGCCCACATTTAGCTAATTTTCACATTTATTGCACACCCACTTTTAGCTCTTTTTGAAGACAATTCTAATCTCTACTGTGTTTGGTCACTCCTATCAGTAAGGCTGAATGTACAATAAAAATGTCTTCCCTTCTGTGCTGTGTTCCCAGCTAAACCCAGATAAGGCCACAAGAAAGCAGCACAACATTTCTGCGTTCACCTGGGTTTTGAAACAATTGAATTCATTTTTAATTGTTTAATGCAGTCAAATTATTCTCACATTTTAATCAACCCAAAAGATAATCACAGTTATTGTAATTGAAGACATAAGTGACATGCAGAATTGCATTTTAGGTATTTTGGAAGACACCATGAACCCTGTGAAGAATTTAATTATGAAAACCAAACATAAAATGTTAAGAGTAGTTCTATGAGCAGAAGCTACTGAAAAAATGTGGATTAAAATGCGTTGTGTATATTGTGTCTGCATGAATTATTAAATTGAATGCAATAATGTGAAATCTCATGATCAATTAGACAAGCAACCTCTAGCAGCAAGCAAAATAGCTGGATTATAGTTCCAGTTTGCAAAAGGCTTCACGCATAATTTATTTTAATCATCGTTGCATTTTCAAATCAAATGGTCATTATCACATCATGCTGTGAAATACTGCAACTCAACTCATTTGATCAAAACAGCAGTCTGCAGCAGTCATTTCCTCAAAATGGTAGTAGAAAGGAATAATACATTAGCAATTCATACTGAATTAAGTATTTTGAATGATGTAGAGTAAAGGTTTTCTCTCATTGTGTTCATTGAATATGCTGTAATACTGTAAATACAGATAATGAAGTTTGAGTCACACCACAGTAAATCCTACATTTATACGAGGTAAAATTATATGTTGAATTCACTGATTCTTGTTTTTTTTTTGATTACTTGGATTACTTAAAATTCTCATTTTCATTTAATACTCATTGCTAGTAACTGCAGTTTACGTTACTGTAACAGACACTAATGTAATACAATGCAAGACATAAAAGGAAAAAAACGCATGTTCTTTTCCATTCTGAAGACTGAATATTTTATAGTTTTGCACTTTGTATGTATAGTAAGGACACATTTTGTGTATAAAGTTAAAATCTCAGCATGATTTTGCACAAGGAAACCTCAGAGCCCAAGCAATGATAAAATATAGTTTCTTCTTGAGTGTCAAACCAAACCAAAATCTATATTTTAAAAGCACACATCTTTACACCTGAAAAGAAGAGACTACAGAAATCAAATTACCAATGAACTCTGGTTTGCCTTTGCTGTATCCAAGACAGTCTATTTGTATCATGGCTGTATTGCAGTTCGGAATATCAGTTACATCACTGTAAGAACTGATTACATGAGTCACATTGCAGAGCCTGTAACTCTCCTGTCTCGGCTTGAAAAGTCACACAGGAATGTGAAATAATGTGCGCAATCATTTTTCCTCACAGTCCACGGAATATCAATAGTGGTCTAATCAAACG